TATTCGTCGCATGAACTGTGCCCTACTTAGGGGTGAGCAAAACCAAGCCGAAACCAAAAAATCGAACCGAACCGATGTATTCGGTTCGGTTCAGTTTGGTTTTTTAAGGTTAGGTTTTCGGTGCGGTTAAAATATTGAAAAACTGCACAAATTTCGGTGCGGTTCGATATTTTGTCCGAATGATGCGGTTTTAACCGAACCGCACCGAAAATGTTTTTTTTTTTAATTTATTTATTACAGATATGACATATATTAAAATATTTGTATTGTACATATACATGCTCATATTGGGACTTTAGTTTGGGATGACTAACATTAACAATAAATAAGTAAAGTAATAAACAATAACAATAACAATTATAAATTAACAACATTACATTAAAATCTAATTTTTTTCCCTAGTTTTTCACTTTCAAATTTTGGGCTTTTGGTTTGGTAAGGTTGCATATAGATGATGATGTAGCTTCATTTTATTTTTGTTTTTTTTTTTAATTTGCGGTTAACCGAAACCGTACCGCACCGAACCGAAAATTTCGGTGCGGTTTCGGTTCGGTTTTTCTACATGTTTCGGTGCAGTTCGGTTTGGGTAAAAAACAAATTTCGGTTTTCGGTTTTTTGCGGTTCAGTGCGGTTTTGCACCGAACCGCACCATGCTCACCCCTAGCCCTACTGATGAAGTTAGGATGGAGGATGTTAATACAACGAGAGTCTCTATGGATGCGACTCCTAAAAGCAAAGTACGGGATCAACCTATCGACCATCATGGAAAACCTTCAATGCAAGCAGGGGTCGGCCTTGATGCGAGCCTTCACCAAGATTTGGCCCGCTGTTGTAAAAAGAATCCGTCGGTCCCTAGGTAATGGAGAAACAACTCATTTTTTGCTTGACCCCTGGTTAGGCACGGCCGGTCCATTTATTAAATATGTCACTCGGCAGCCTCCACTCGACGGTTGCGGACTTCGTAGATGAGTGCGGTAATTGGAAATGGGATTCGTTTAATAAAATTCTCCCCTTAGCGTTAATTCTACGTATCGCAGGTACACTCCCACCGAGGCCCACGGCTGGAGGGGATCGAGTTATGTGGGGACCCTTCCATGACGGTAACTTCTCCAGGGGTACAGCCTACAAGGCTGTCTTACAATCGGAAAGAGACCCAGGCAAACCGTTTGGAAACTAATTTGGCGATCCTCGGTACCGCAAAGAATTCGAACCTTCCTATGGCTTGTGGCCAAAGATCGATTACTTACCAATTGTGAACGGGTCTGGAGGCACATCTCTACCTCGACAAATTGTGACTTTTGTGGAGAAATTGAATCAGCACTGCATTGCCTTGAGGGGATTGTCCGTTCGCTAAGTGCCTGTGGGTCCGACTGCTCTCAGTGGATATAAATGGTGAATTCTTCCACCAGCCTATTAAAACCTGGTTGAGGAAGAATTTATTGCAGGCTCGGCTGGGCTCGAGTGACAACGGGAGTTGCATGTTTTCATTTACCGCATGGAGATCGTGGAGGTGGAGGAATGATCGTATCTTCAATTTCCGGACATTAAGCTGTGAAAATCGGAGGTCGGAGGTCCTACGCATGACTGAGACATATGCTTGGACAAACGCAGCTTACATGAAGGTAGGGACCAAGCTGCATGTTTTTTGTATGATACATTGGACCGTGCCTGAGTCGGTGATGCAGAACAATAATAATAATAATAATAATAATACTAAATAATAATAATAATAATAATAATAATAATATTATTAATATTATTATTATTATTATTATTATTATTATTATTTAGTAGATTGGTGAATAAGTTAGGTTTAGGGGTTTAGGAGTCTTATTTAAAGACTCCTTCTTTGTCATTTGCAGTGAATTTGATTATGAAAGAAATATGAATTGATTGCCAGTTTTACCGAGAGAATATCTCCTTTATCCTTCCCATTCGTATGCTTCCCTACATCAGTTGGTATCAGCAGTCAGTACGATTCGCGATGTCATCGGGACGACAAGATGTCGCAAACAAACGACGTGATGCAACCTTCAACGATCGGTTTCACGGATAGGTTTGCAGATCTTTCGACGGGGATCGAGGATTTGTGTTTGACGCTTAAAACCGTGGTCTGGAATTTGTAGATGAACCGTGCCGCCGGCGACCGGGGTGTGCGCGGGGGAGTTCACAGAGGAAGTGGAGATCGTGTTCCAGGCGTGGCGTCCTGTCGGCGATCTCCACAACAGCCTCCCGGCGATGCAGACGGCAAGGAGACCATCTCGGAGGTGGATCCCTTCGGAGAGTGGCCGCCTCGGCCCGTCGAGACTAAGCTCGTTGCTGCGCATGACGATCAAGATCTGCGGCAACAAAGTGCGATTTTTGAGGAAGATGAGAGGCTATTGTACGACGGTCCGCCTATTTTCTATGAGGAGCCTCTGGTGACAGAGACATATTTTTGCGGCAATATGGGTCCCGCGTGGGACGTCGCAGAAGTTGAGCCTTTGACGGTGATACCGTCGTTGAAGCCCGATGTTTGGAGTATCTTGGCCAACGATGGTTTTTGGGAGCCGAAGCCGAGGCTCAATAACTGGTGGGCCATTTTTTGTCTATCGCGAAGTCTCTCAACAACGGGATGCTTGGCCGTAGTTATAGATTTGAGCGCGGCGAACAACGTGGTATGTTTTGTGTTAATTCAGCTGTGTGGGTTATGCGTATGAAGGCGTGTACATGTGCCTTTGCAACAGTGCAATCCTTGCCCGAGATTATGTTTACTTTCGGGGTTGTTCGGCGACCTTCAACCTTCGTATTCGATCGGGGGAAACGTTGGGCTATTCATGTCATGAGATGTCTCCAACTGAGCGGGTCGGATTCGAGGGTGCATCCTGCTCACCGGGGGAGAATGATGCAGAAATAAATATAATTATTATTATTCTTTAGTAGATTGGTGAACAAGTTAGGTTTAGGGCTTTAGGAGTCTTATTTAAAGACTCCTTCTTTGTTATTTGCAGTGAATTTGATTATGAAAGAAATATGAATTGATTGTCAGTTTTACCGAGAGAGTATCTCGTTTATCCTTCCCATTCGTATGCTTCCCTACAACAGTCGGGTTGGATCAAAGTAAATACAGACGGTGCGTTTAATATCACCACGCGCTTAAGTAGAACTAAAGGCCTGATCCGAGATGAGGGCGGTCGATGGATCAAAGGGTTCCTCATGAATATTGAGTTTAGTACAATTACGGGTGTCGAACTTTGGGGCCTTCTTCAGGGCCTACAACTGGCTTGGGACGTGGGATTTCGTCAGGTTATAGCAGAAGTCGACAGCCCATGCGTGAAGAAGATGATCCTTGGACCTGGCGATAAATTAGGAGCACATGATGCTAGTCCGGGCCTTTCGCAACTTGATTCAAAGGGAATGGCGTATTAAGATCCAACGCGTGCATAGAGAAGCTAACTTTGCAGCTGATCACATGGCGGCCTTGGCGACATCCTCATCATTGGGTGTGCACCAAATTTCTTTACCTTCCTCTGGGTTGGGAGCTTGGCTTAATCACGATATAATCGGGGTGTCCCACCCTAGACAAGTGCTTGCCTAGTCACCCTTCATGTCTCTGGCCTCCATCTTTGTACTGGAAAAAAATAAAAAAACTCAAAATGTGTTATCACCCGAAATTGTATAAAAACAAATAAATAAGGCAAAAACTTAACCTGAAATTAGCAACATATCCGACTGCTACAGATATTTTATTGCTTGATGTTTATGAAAAATTAATAATTATAAAGTTTTTGTTTTAATGATCCCAATGCTCTCGATTGTCAATTTAACTCACAAAGAAAAGATGAAGTTCACAGTCTTCCTAATAATTTTTAGAAAGCATTTTTTCGTGAAAAAACTCAATAGCATCTCAATTGTCACAAATGCGAATGAAATTCTCATTTATACAATAAATCTCGACAATAGTTAGTGAAATCAATGGGTTAATTTTTTTTTTTTTCATCCAGTCATGTGGTACAAACAAATAGTTCTTTCTCTTTAAGCCTTAAGGTCTCCAATATGCAATTTCTTTTTCTTTCTTACTAATTAAAGGCAGGAAACAATAATAAGAATCTTGATTTTAGAGCATGGACTCACATCTTTATCAAGTACAAAAATACACCATCACATCTTCATACCTTCAAGAAGCATTCTGATTATGCAACGACAATGCAATTATGAATGTAAAAAAAAAATGCATGTATGTAAAAATGCGTGTTGCAACGATGATGTGATGTGAGTGCTACAACACGACGCCTATTATAGTTCAAGCAGAACAAAAGTCGACAGATATCCTAAAATTGGAAAACCTCTCATAATACTAATGTCTTGGTGAATATTGTAATGTTTGTGGTTTGTGAATATCAATTGCACGGCTTAAGGAGAATGAAGGAAACGAAACAAAATCAAAGTTGAGGCACGTAATATTTACGTTCTCCTTAAGACGAAATTGTCCCGTAAAATACCCATGGTTAATGGCAAACGCCTCCAAGATTCAACGATTTTCGACTTGTATATAGCGGTACTTCAAATATTCAAGCCTTCGGCGAACAATACTATTGTTTCGAACTCTCAAGACTCAATGAAAAAAAATCAAATAATACAATATGCGTTACGAAGTTTGAAAATGTAATGCAAGAGCTCTTCACTTTCTCAAATTATGAATTGTTTCATGTATGTGAGTATTTATAGATGTAATAAAGCACCTCCAAGAGGTTTAAGTGTCAAAAGACACCTTTTGGGATGTATCTGAACGAGAGCGGACCCATCTAGTGGCCAAAAGACATCTTATAATCACCAAGGGTTGCGACCTTTCGGTGTTTTGTAGTTATTCTTTTTGTTCGATCCATTCGGTCTATTTGAGTTTCCACCAGATACGAGTGCGGCATGTTTATTTCCGTTAGGTTTGTTTTTCCTTACGACACGCGCCATTCACCCTCTTTTTTATCAGTCTGGTTCAAATTAGGAGTCTCAGTCTCTTCCCCGATTTCTCCAAGATTTGCACCTCAAAATTAAAGGTCTGGTTTGACTCCTTGGTTTCCTCCCTTGCCAGAAGATCGAATCGAGATCCTGAAGATGGTTAGAAAATCTTTTTGGATTGATCTGTATCCCCTCTATTGCGCCTAGGATATGGCTGACGGGCGCGTTGTGGAACCTGGACCCACGGTCCCTACATCGACTCGTCGTCCTCGTCCTCCATTTTCTTTTGCACCCCGGAGCATCCTTCGCCACTCTGCACGTGTAGCCGATGGAATTTTATTGCTTCCAGGCTGCACCTTAGGCGGCGGTCGGTGAGGACACACGCTGCTTGAGTGAGCCATTCTGCCCACTGGAAGCAAATATTAGGCATGTACTCGTAGACCACTCGTTGCCTTTTTCCATTGACCGTGAAGCTTACACACAGTGGTTTTGTGAGGTCGACGAGCACCAGAAGCCTAGCATATTTGCCTCGGGTTAGCGCAACATCTGTTGGTCAATTTTAACCACTTTTCTTACGACTCTCCCAATCGTACAAAAGATCTTTTTGTGGCATAAATGAGCCGACATTCCTGGTAGACGGATCCAAGCAACGGTAGCCGATATCTCTTTGTTTGTTGCATCAAATTCAAGGTTCCATGGCTGCACGTGTTAGAAAAAATGTGAGTGTATTTGTTCAACTCCCTCAACCAATTCCCAACCACTTGAACATTTTCCAACTATTCCAACTAATTGCCAACTAACAACGCCAAATTTCTAATTAATCCATCAATATAAATGGGTGATGAGATGAAGGGAAGAGAGACTGTAGAGAATAAAAGAAAAAGAAAGAAAGGGAATAGAGAGAAAAGAAAGAAAAATAAAGGAAAAGAAAAAAATCGGTCCAAGAGAATGGTTGAGGGATAAAAATATTAGTGAGAAAAATAGAGAAAAATTATCAGAGAGATAATTTAATTCCTATTTTTAAGTGATCAATTCTCGACTCGGTTCCAGTTCGCCGGAGCTTGTGAATCTGGTGTGCTACAGATTTAAATATGTTTGTCGTTGTATCTTTGGGGAAGTTACGCTTGAACCGTGAGCTGCCACACGAGGCGTATTCTTCTTGCGGAAAGAGTTTACTCGCCTCGGCTTTAATCTTTCTGTTTTGTTTTCAGTTGTAATTTATTTTTCAGTTCAATTGTAATTTTCTATTTTTAGATTCTTTGTAAGAACTGAAAAATACATATCAATTCGTAGGATTCCCGTGTTTTACACCTTGGATCTAACAGCACGTGCATGTATCCCTCTCCTACCACGTAGGGTCCTCCCGTGAGAACCCAAACTGCATCATCATGAGTGCGAAGATGAATAAAAGGTAGAAACCGTTCTCAAAATCCATCATGCTACACTCCGTCATAAAAGGCCACATGTTAGTCAAGCGATTGTACAAGGACGACATTGAAAGGGACTCATCAAAGTGTTTAATCACAATTACATTATGCCATTCTTTGCTTACTAGATCATAGAAGCATGTAGTTACTTTGATATCGGGTGTGAGAAATCCACTTAAACGTCCTCCTCACTGTCCTCTTCTTCCAGTTCATCCTTAGAGATCATATCCACATGGTTTCTATGTTTGTTGATCATATCGCGAAAAGACCAACTTTGTGGTTGATTGTCGAGGGTTGGTGCGATCGATGGCGGACGATTCAAGAGTTGTTGCTGCTCCATAAAATCCCACTGTCGATCGCAAATTCTCGTGCATTAGGGGCCAGAGATGAATTGAAGGTTGGAAACTCCGTGTCCGCGGATATCAACGGCGGATCGACTCTGGGGTCGAAAGTTGCCGTAACTGTTGGCGTTGTTGTAATAAAGGTGTTGAGGGATGTTTCGTTCATTGCTTTNGTTGAGTTTTGTACTATTGAATCAATGCATACACATGTGCACGTAGGTGTATATTAATACAACAATATTTTTCTTTTTAAAAAAAAAGAAAAATATTATGACTGTATTGTAGAAATCTACTCATGATCCACATTTATCATCACTCGTCACTTGTTTTCTAAAACAAATAATAGAAGCCTATTTTGTGGTTAGCTTTCTAACTAAAGTTGCCTAGGAAGTGATTGGATATGGTTTGAACAGTAAAAACACTAATCAAAATTAAAATTTAATTAAAATCTAACTCAACTTTACTATCTCCAATATTATCAATATAATTAAATAATATTAAACAATCATTCTTACACATCACATCAACTTTAATTCACTATTCATCTACTTACATAATTTTAACTAATCATCACTTCCAATCATTTTTCTCTTACGTTACATCAAATTAACTTTAATTATTTTTTTAAAATATTATTTTATATATCCACTAACAACTAATCATACCACCTTTTTTCAAAATTAACTATAATTTAAAGACAAATCAAATAAAAACTAATTAAATTCATAAACAATCAAACCCCTAGTAATCATTAAAACATGAATAATTGAGGGTATGAGTGGATATAAATATATGCTCCATACTTCATTTCGATCTCGACTTAATATTTATTCCGACTCTAATTCAATTTCACTATTTTCAATATAACTAAATAATGTCAATCAATCATCTTTACACATTAAATCAACTTTAAGTTATTATTCATCAATTCACATTAGAATCATGTATTTTGTTTTTACATTAAATTAATTTTAATTATTTTATTTTAGTATTATTTTAATATAAACTTAAAATGACACTAAAAACTAAATAAACAACTTTCTCAAAATTAACATTATATTGTTAAAAAAAATCAAATACCAATAGCAATATATCTATATCCACTCATGGCCTAAAAGCAAACTTTTGACATGCTTCAATTGATAGATCTGGTGTCTCCTTAAAGTCAAAATTTGGTTAATTACAAATTTTGTGTAGAATTGTTTAACATACACTGTTGTATGAAATTTATCATCAATTGCATATCTTTCTCGAGAAATAAAAAATAATAGCTCAAAAATTAAAGTTTATAGATCGGTAATAATGTGGAGTTGTGAGTCTTGTGACGAACAAATATTAAATGAAATTATTAATGTTTAAAAGATAGCATTACTAATTGGAATTTTAACTATTGACGTATAGGGCAATACTGGTATTGTATTACAAGTTGAGAAATAGTAACCACATGGGTGTTTTTTATAAAAAAAAATAAAAATTAAATAAATAAATAATCAATAGAAATTGAAAAAATAGTGTTCAATCGATATGTAATTAAAAAAAATCGGTCGATTGATCAGAGATAAGAAATAAAAATTATATTTATTGTGAAATAAAAAAAAGTAAATAATTAATAGAAAAAGTAAAGGAATTTAATATTGTTTCAAATTTTAATAAACATTTTTTATGAATATTATTTTTTCTATTTAAGGTATATTTATTTCATAAAAAAGAAATAAAATAATTAGTTTATTGCATTGTTAATATGACGCCCGTGAATAATTTTATAGAAATTTTCTCTTTTAAGAATATTTTTTTAATTAACAAATAAATATATGATTTATCGTAAATACTTAAACTTTATATATAGATTAAATGCTTACCAATCAAACACTTTAGAAGATAACGAAAATCATATACTGAGCGCATAATTACAAAGATTTTGAATTAAAACTTTTTTTTAGTAATTAAATAAATACAAAGATTATGGAAAAAAAAATTAGTCTACTCATCCCTTTTACTACTTGGCATATAATGAAGGAACAACTAATCTTTTTATTAGAAATAAAAATAAATATTATGGAAAGAAATAATTGGTGTTTTAATTTTCAAAAAGTTCAAAAAAAATGTTGAAAAGCTTATAGTCACGGCTACAAATTTTCTTCTTTTAGAAACATTTTTCGAAAAAAAAGAAATTTACATGCTATTTTTAGTAAATAGTTAAACTTTTCTTTATACTAGCGTACCGCCCGTGCAATGCACGGGATAGAGATATTAAATGAGTTATTTTCACACCCTTGTCCGTTTAAGTCTGAAGAATAATATGGTTATTATCTATTTTTTACCTCTTTTAATTAACGTTAAGTCTAAAACACAACAGGCTATTATAAGTTTTTTTCCACGTCTTTTAACCAGCGTTGTTTTTTAGCCAGAACATTAAATATGAGCATGTTAGGGCGAGCTTGTAAAATAATTAAGATATTATCTCACTAAAATATTTATACTAATAAAAATTTAATTTTAGCATATAAATTTATCCCTTGAAATAAGAGAAAATAACAGTTTTACTTATTGTTGTTCACTATATTATTTAATTATTATTTATTATATAATAGAAACGAATAATGTTATAGTGTAGTAGAATTGTTATAAAATTATATGAATTATTATTTTTACAATATGGATTTAATATCTTTTTATGATTTGATAATATAACTATAATATATTCTTAATTGATATAATAATATGAGATAAGGATATACATAATACTATGGATTTATTCCTAATGTTAAGATATTGAATTAGGTAATATATGATTCACTAATTTGTAATCTGTCTCTTTTTATATTGAAAATAATCATGTGATTAAGTAGAGATAACAATTATCTATAAATTCCTTCATTTAAAGAATAATTTTTAAATTGGTCCAAGTATTGAATACAACCTAATTTTCTTGTAACTAAAATGAGAATAGATTTTGAATTTCAAATTTTTACTTCAAAACAACACGTAAATTTGGATGCAGATTTTATTAAAAATAAAATGAGAAGAGATTTTGAATTTCATATTCACTTCAATATCTGTCGAAATTTTAAAAAATGAATTCAACAAAGCCCATAATTTTAAGGACATTTAATGCTACCTTATTTTATGATTTAAAATATTTAAAATTTTCTAAATATGGTGTGTAATTAATTATGAGTTGACTTTTCTCCTATTAATTCTAGTAAATGGAATGACTTTTTATATAAGTATAGATTTATATATAGATAAGTTTGGAAAATACCATAAATTATTTGTCTAGTCCAATATTTCCAAATCACATCTTTCTTCTACTCTCATTTTCCATTTCTTGACCGTCAGTTAGTTTGGAATATCACCGTATGTACTTGGACTATGTTCTTTTTTTAGATTGCAATGTTATCTATCGTTTGAAAAAAAAAAAAAAAAAAAAAA